TTAGCCTTTTGATCGTTCCAAGATGCTTGAGAGATGTTAGCGACGTGGATACTGCTGTGGAATGGTTTGGAATAGAAGTGCCGTAAGTTTACAAATGGAATTAGTGCAAAATGATCTACTAGAAGGCTGGTAAAAAACGCTCAAAATCTTGACTTCTTAGCACAATTTTCTGCTACTTACAAAAACTCGACCAAAAGGAAATACTATCAATGTTCTTCACCCGCAAATATATTTTATGTCGTTTTTCGTATTTTCTGGTTTGAAAGCTTTTTCAGGGATCCCTTCCACTTTTCTTTCGCATTTTCGCTGAGCAAGCCTTGTGGTTCTATGAAGGAACGCCTAAAATAACAAGAAAATGTTTCTCAAGTTTGACTGAAGATTTCCGCCTATAAAATTACTACCAATCATAATTTAACCTCAGTTTATTCTTGATGCATTGAGATTTCCCATCGGCATCGCACCGACCGCTTTTCATCGCATGGCGGAGAAGGACGGTGAGATAAGTACTGTACAAGGTAAGACTTATTTGATGACTCCTTAGTTGATCATAGAGCGATAATTTTCTACTACAATGCCACTATGCAAATAAGCGGTTGTTGGAATTAGATAATCAAAAACAGGAAGTGCTTCCCAAAGTGAATCAGAGATCTCAGGGTCTGTCTCTAATTTTGAACAATAAGCTCTTTAGGACAAAAAGCATTGTTGTTGCCACAAGCCTAGTCGTGAAGTTTTTTTTTTCAAAATATTACTCCATGAGGGACAGAATACATAAATTAGAGATTGTTGTTCTAGGTGCCGCAAAATCAAAATCTCTAATGGTTGTCAGTTCATGGGCTACAACTGCAATCGAGCTTATCGGCCATGAAGCTATGAAACTAGACGTACCGCTTTGGTTCCAGGTAGGGATTTTTGCACGAATTTTAGCTAACTGTCGAACTCGACTTATTCCAGACTAATAACAGTTCTATAATTAAGGCTTTTTTAGTACAAATTTCTTCCTAGTCATGAGTTCCGCTTTATTTGCAGTTAACAATTTATTTATTTATTCGCTTCATTTGCAATTGAAACGTGATTTTGGGCATCTGTATTACTAGCCTATCGTGTGCTGTAGTTGTACAGTAACTGCCCAGCTTCTATGACGTTCTTGCTTTTGCGATAATTTGCATGTGCAAGCTTTTTAGAAATCTACTGCGGATAGCTGAGAAGAGTTAGGCAATTTGAAAATCAACTTGAGATAATCATATAGTTTATCCAGTCTCCCTATCCCATTTCGTGGTCTTTCTCGACGCAGATTCTCCAAAGTTTAGGGTACAGGTAAAACATATGGACGAGATTTTTTTTTGAGATAAAATTATATATTCAGTTTTATTGCACAAAAAAACTCAATGTTCAAAAAGATTGAAATCATAGAAAGATGTTACAAACATATTTTATGCCTTGAATGTAGCAGCTTTTCTAGCAATTCATGTACGAATTATATTTGATATTTTTTGTGAGGCTTTTCACATTTTTGTTGATCAGCTTTGATCGTCTACAAACTTCTCATCGCGTACTTCGTTATTACTTATCTCAAATTCTAGCTATATGTTTACAAGGACAAATCCATCACATCATCACTGCTCTTCCGAGCACATGCAGCTGGTTGCAAGGCAATTGTTGTCACCGTGGATACACCAGTGCTTGGCAGACGTTTAGCAGATGAGAGAAATGCATTTAATCTTCCAGCGGGACTGACGTATATTCTGTAAAATTGCGTCAAAATGCACTTTGAATTCGAACATGTTTAGGCTCGCAAATTTCACAACGATACAATCGTCACAAATGCCAACAGCACATGAAGGGCAGTCAGCTTTCGAAAAATATGTTGGCAATCAAATTGATCCTAGCTTGGATTGGAATATGGTAGATTGGGTGATCAGGTACGAAATGCATAATATCGAAGTAATAAGTATATTTCCAATTTCTCGCTCAAGGGAGGACAAATTGCGCGTAAGCCATAAAGACATAAAAACAGATGATTTTGGAGATCATAGAGGCAACAGAGACTCCGAGTACTGCTGATTTTGCCACCTAAGCCAGTAAATGAGAAAGAAGAAATATAAAAGAATATTTTTTGCAGCAACACAAAAATACCGGTAATCTTGAAAGGAATAATGCGAGCTGACGATGCCGAAGAGGCCATAAAACGAGGCGCGCAAGGAATTATCGTATCAAACCATGGTGGACGACAACTGGACAGCGCTCCGGCTACAGTAATCTTTTTCAACGTTTAAAAATTATGATGGTACCAAGTTTACGAAAAATTTACTTAGATTTTCTGGGGCTTTTGCTACCTAAAATATATATTCGTAAAATTCCTTTTTTAGATTGAAGTACTCCCAAGCATAGTACTAGCTGTTCATGGAAGGGTGCCGGTAAGATATATTTTTAGAATCAAAAAACGCTTAAAAAATATTCTTAGGTGTTCTTCGATGGCGGTATTCGTAACGGCCGCGATATTTTCAAAGCTATAGCCCTCGGTGCAGATGGCGTATTTGTTGGTCGTCCTGTTATTTGGGGTTTATCTGTAAATGTAAGTTTGAAGTACTTGCGCAGGATAAAGAGAAAAGCTGGATACTTCATGGAAAAATTGTGGGAAAGTCAGGCTTTTGTTTTTTTGTGGAAATAAGAATGGTTACGCCATTCTTCGCATGGAATGTCTGTTATTGCGGACTTGTGTGCCTCTGTTGGGAGAGTGAGCAGTTTGAAGAGACGCAGACGATGAGAGTGGCGCAAAAGCGTGCCTGATTTGAATTGTTTGCACGTCGGCTCATATAACAAGTTTTAATTAGTATACTCTCCAATGAATGATTCTGTACAATAAACCATTTCTTTATTGAATTACCGTTTTTTTCCTCTTTAGAATTTTGATTTAGGGATCTGAAGGCGTTGCAAATGTGATGCGGATTTTCCAGAAAGAGTTCTTACACACTATGCGACTTGCTGGTACTATACATCATTTTTGTGTCGATCAATTCAGATATTTGCTTTTCAGGTTGTCGTTCAATACAAGAAATACGGGAATTTCGCGATGGAGTCGTGAAAGATTCGCATTTTGCCAAACTTTGACCAATAAAACTTTTCGCACCGTTCTTTGCCTCATTTTCACTTTTCATCATCGACATTTCCAGCCTGACTATACAAATCTTGTGTAGTCTCCTAGAACGAAATTAGA